CAGCTCCAGCAGCAGTTGCGGCACTGAAGGGCGAAGCAGCAGCAAAGGCCGCTTCGACACCCGAAGCGTCCCCGCCTGGATCCCGGTCCGAATCGCCCGTCGCCGGTAAAGCTTCAGCATCATCCGCATCTGCATCTGCGTCTGCACCCAAAAAGAAGATTGCCGGAGAAAAGAGCGCGACCGACGCTGAAAAGGTGTTGGACGAGGCACACAAGGCTACGGACGAAGAGACGCTCAAAGATCTTTTTGGCGATGCGCACGTGAAGTCTCACTTGAACGTCGTGTTCATCGGACATGTGGATGCTGGAAAATCGACAATGGGAGGTCAATTACTGCATCTCACTGGAATGGTGGACAAGAGAACGCTGGAAAAGTTTGAAAGGGAGGCTAAAGAAGCTGGAAGAGAGAGCTGGTACTTGAGTTGGGCACTCGATTCTACGCCTCAGGAACGTGAAAAGGGCAAGACTGTAGAGGTCGGCAGAGCTTTCTTCGAGACTGGCAAGAGACGCTACACGATCTTGGACGCGCCCGGACACAAGAGTTATGTGCCTAACATGATCAGCGGCGCTGCTCAGGCCGACGTCGCCATTCTGGTGAGCTCGGGTTGTTAAGATCATGCATCGCAGCGATCAAAGTACTGACGCGCCGCACGCTGTTCCCTTTACAGGTCATCTCGGCCAGAAGGGGAGAATTCGAGACTGGTTTTGAGAGGGGAGGACAGACGCGCGAGCACGCGGTGCTGGTCAAGACTGCCGGTGTGCAAAAGCTGGTAGTGGTGGTGAACAAGATGGACGAGTCAACTGTTCAGTGGGACAAGTCTAGATTCGACGAGATTCAAACCAAAATGACCCCTTTCCTCAAGGGGACTGGCTTCAATCCAAAGACGGATGTCACTTTCCTACCAGTGTCCGCTTATGCGGGACAGAATCTCAAGGATCCTTTGCCCAAGGGTGTGGGCGAGTGGTACAAGGGCCCCACGCTGCTCTCCTTTTTGGACGACCTCAGCTTGGCCGATAGAAAGATCAACGATCCCTTGAAAATGCCCATCACCGAAAAGTACGCGGATATGGGTACGGTGGTAGTGGGCAAACTGGAAGCTGGATCGGTGAGAAAAGGCGATTCCATACTGGTCATGCCGAACGCGGTTTCGGTGGAGGTGGTGAACATTACGAACGAGCAAGACGAAGAAGTGCCAGCTGCTATCTCGGGGGATAATGTGCGAGTAAAGATCAGAGGTGTGGAGACGGAAGACATAAGCGTAGGCTTCGTCCTCTCGGACGCCAAGAAACCCGTCCATGTAGTCACGCAATTCGAAGCTCAATTGGCCATCCTGGACTCGAGAAACATCATCGCTCCTGGATTTCAGGCCATGATGCACGTTCACGCCGCATCGGAGGAGATTCAACTCAATGCTTTGCTCCATTATTACGACAAGAAGACGGGAAAGAAGAGTCGCAAACCTCCCGCTTTCGCCAAGAAGGGTGAGTGCGTCGCTGTTGCTATACATGCAACACGCGCTGACTAGACTTGTTTGGCACCCTTTTTTGAACCTCGCTCGCTTCTGTAGGCATGAAAGTGGTAGCGCTCATAGAAACGACTGCGCCCATCGCGATTGAGAAGTTTGCAGACTATCCGCAATTGGGCCGCTTCACCGTTCGAGAGGAAGGTAGAACGATTGGTATTGGAAAAGTGACGAAGCTTATCAGCTCCAAGGAGGATTTGCCAGATCTCGCCAAGCTGGGCATCGATGGAAAGGCCTGAGGAAGCCTCGCGTGTTGATGCGCAGCTCCTCACCTCAAGTTTCTTCCTCTTGCAAAACGACAATGAGAGAAAGTGATGGGAAGCCGTGCATCTCTTGTAGTTTGTTGGGGGGCTTTGACGCCCACGTGATGCACACTTTGCGTATCACCGTACTCTGCTACGCTCTGGGGGAAAGCGACTTTACATGGTTGCATACATGCTTCGAAGCACATCATTATTGCCATCGTTGTTTGACTTGAATGCCATCACACACAAAGCTGCTTGATTCACTGATCGCGCTCT